AATTTAAAGAACGTACAATATAAAAATTTCTTTGTAAGATAAACTACTAACTTTCATCTTAAAGGATAAACACTTAAATGAACATTTCCGAAACATAATTAAGAACGTTTTTAGTTACCTAAATGAGCTTTCTCGAAACAATGAACTTACCCAGCTAGCACAAAAACATCCCATCTACGTTAATGAGCTGCAATTTTAGGCTCTTTAAGCTCACATGCAATGTACTTTTAATGTAACCCTAATATCCCTGCAACCACCGAATGTCCGCAACGGCAAGACTTTTATAGCACATCTCACAGAAGTTAAAAAGTGAAGTTCGGAAAACATCACACTAGCACTTTTACGGTACTTACCCTGAAAGTTGCTCTGAAACTTTCTATAGATGTTATAATGTGAATTAGCTCTACTGCATTATACAGTGTGTCCACGGATGGACTTAACTATACTTGTGAAAATATTTATTTTAAATTAAAAAAGTAATTCTTCATAATTTACTTGTTAAATAAATTCGATTCACATTAGGAAATTTGGAAAAATAACTTTTTTTAATTTAAAATAAATATTTTTACAAGTATAATTAGGTCCATCCATGGACACACTATATTGTTCTTTGTGTAATGTAATACGGAGAGGCTGAAATTGAGGTATAGTAAAAACTCAATCGAGACATGGAAATTTCAAATAAAATAAAACAAAATATTTATATAAATTTATTATTATAATGTTCTTGAAATCAAGTAGTAATATCACAAAAGTTGAGGTAGGTATATCTCAAATGCAGTTACACATGTATAGAAGAAGCCACCTATAAAGCACTGAACGATTGGACAAAATTTGCTTAATAGTAATAATAAGGTATCAATATTGCAAAGGTTCACTAGTAGCTTAAACAGTGAACGATTGTACAAAAGTATATTTATATAAGGTACGTTTCAAGATGGCAATTGTATGATGCAAAAAAAACTAGATCTGTGAATAATAGATGATTGCAACAATGACTTAGGTATATATCATGAGATAGCTGAGGTTCCAGATTGCTTACCTGTACTCACAGAGATATATCATCTTTTTAAAATCAAACCTTTTAACTTTTTTTTTTTGTATAGATATTTATATATTTTTATTTTGTTAGTTTATTATTTATACAAAGGTGAACAAAAATTATTTTATTCTAACTACATATTGAATAAAAAAGAGATTGACCTACTTGTTTAACTATTATTGAAGGAAATTATATAGAAAGTAAAAAAATATACTCAAGTTTAAATCGTTGCACTTATTTTTAGGTAATTTTGTCTTACTTTGTTGTTTTAAATAAAACCTCTAATTATTTTTTTTTAGAATTTCACAAATTTTATGCATAATTATGGATTTCCAAGTTAGTATGAAGATTCTATAAAAAAAACAACTCATGTTTTTTAGCAAGATATTCTGATGTATGCTCGAGGGCATCATTTTATAATTTCATAAACCAAGTCCTTCTATCTAGCTTCTAACAAAGTTATCAGATATTTCCGGACATTTTTATAATTCTATAAACCAGCTCCAGCTCATTCTGTCGAAAACTACAAAAATATGATCCAAATATTCCCGGACATTTTGATAAAATTTACAACAGGCATTGTAATCTAAAACGAAGAAAATGGTTCAGAAAATAGTTTTCTATTTTATAGAGGATCTACTAAAATGTTTTTAATAATAATTATAAAAGAAATTCTGCAAATTAAAAAAAACAAACATGACATATGACAAGAACCATTGGCAAGTGACAATTGACATAAACAGTTCTTGTTCTTTTTAGCAAATTACTTTATTACGTTATGTTAACATAACAGGTAGGTTAACTAGGTAAATAACAAATAGAAGTTTTGCGAGGTTTTGATTTCCCTCAACAACTTCTCATGAACGTTGCATTTACGTTGTATAGTAATGTTATTACGTTCCCTTAGTGCAACATCGCCGAAAGTCTTGGCAACGTTATGTGCTAGCTGGGTAGTTTTGGCAGTGCTCCAGGCTTGAGATATTTGCTTTTTGAAGAATATCATTAGGATCAAAATGCTTCGAGCATAACACTCATTTTTAGATACCTTCATTTTCTTCAAGTCCTACAAGTGATAGCCAAATATTTCTTGTATGCCTTTCAGTTGGGAATCTAAAAATCAAGCATAAGCATATTTATTTACCACTATAGTCCAGACTAAAGTGTTTCTAATAATTACAATTTTTTGCGAAATTAATAATGTTGAAAGATCAAAGAAAATAATAGTAATACAAAAGTAGATAATACATGTGATATTATGGCAAAAATATTTAAATCTACACCACTGAACTATGCAATACATCATCACTTAACCTTACTTATGAAAAGATACTTCCAGTTTTTTGCTCAAAATGCACTCGCGAACCATGTTCTTAGCTATACACAAGCCGAAATTTTTCCAAAAAAGTCTAAAGATTAACAAAAACACCCAATATGCAACAATTTACTGGATCGCAACGTCGCAAACTATCGATGGATAAAATACTATACGTGACGTCCGTGACGTATAGTATGAATGAAACAAAGTTATTTTAAATTGCGGTGGTGTCACGTTTAACGCTTTTAAAATCCTTGCATTTATTTGCAGGAATTATAATGGTATTTGCCATAGTTTATCTTAGTATTTGCAAAATTGTTATTTAGCAAGCGTATGTATGTAAAAACCCTAGGTACAAAAATGCCCTCTAATGGTATAAAAATAGGTGCTGCTAAAATATCAAGTCTGCAGTTAAAATAGATTATTCTACTTTGTACACATTTTATACGTTTTTGTTTTGTTACAAGTCATTTTATTTAGAGATTTACTATTAGAAATGTTTCGGGAAATATTGCAACATCTCTGCCCACAATGCGTCGGAGTTGCAAACACTACACTAGGTGCGAAAATGAATTGGTGGGGACGCTTGATGTGTCGCAATATGTCGCACCTTTAAAACAAAAGTGACACTATACAAAAAAATCCGTTTAGAGTCCGTTTTTTAATTTAATATTTTAATTTTAAACTTTCTGGTTAACAAATGAATTAAAACTATAATACATAGTTCCATTAACATCTAAAGAGTTTCTATGAGTAGTGTTTTAAGAGTAAACTTTGTGGGATAAATTAATATTAAAAGTTAAAAATGCTCATGTGAAAATTTTAAATTTTTGTAAAGTGTCACTTTTGTTTTCAATGTGCGATGTATATCTCAAAACTATTCTAATTAATAAAACTTATTGCTATTAGTGAGTTATAAGTAAAAACTATTTTTAAATATGAAAGGAATAAACTACACAGCCTGACAACAGCCCACCAGGAAACGCATGTCGGTTCATTTACGAAATAGCTACGCGTTACGTTTCTTTGCAATGTATGACCGGGTTTTAAATGTAAATAGAGGAGCTTTGGTAAGTCCCGATTACCACCGAAACAGCCACGAACTAAGAGTCAATTAATCCGATTTCATTTTTGTATTGTCTTTCCTACCGGACGGTCACATCTCATAGGGAAGCTTAAGTCGAGGTCATACACCTTTTCCACGGAATGCTATGTAGCGTATAGGGTTTTTGCGATAAGTGTACGTATAAAGCAAAGTATTTAATATTTGTTCATGAGTTTATTAAAAACTGTGCCATTTTAAGTATAATATTAATACTGTCCCAATGCACCCCTTTACGATTGAATTTTAACCCCAAAAACAGAGTTTGTGCATGGTAAGGACGGCAATTATTATTATTATTATTTGTCATTATTATTATTATGTAAGTACCTTATATATTTTTTGATACATCAATCGTGTATTTTTGACTGTGATATTTTTTAATCTCTATATATTGTCCCTATTCATATTTTTGTAAAAGTTGATATTATTTTAAAACACCTGAGTACTCAAATCAACATGATGACTTTTTTTATATTTAAATCAGATTCTTATCGTCACCCATTGTCCTTTATTTACATTTCAAACAAAAAGGTGGTAACTCTAGTTATCACCCAAAAATATTGCAGCCCGTGTAGCATAACAAGCAGATTTATGTGGCCCGAAAGAAAAAAGGTTGAGTACAGCTGCTAAAGTGTCTAGAGGTAGGGCAATTGTGTACAGAACAAAAATGTCTGGATTCGAATACGAGCGACGACAGGCTTTTTTCAAATCTGCAAGTATGTGTTTTTACTTTTGGAGTTCAGGAATGATCTTAATAATTCGTAGGGGGATTTTTGAGATTTGTTTCCGAGTTTTAAAATTATTTCAGCCACTTATTTTTCAGATATACCTGTTGATTTTAAAAAAATTGCGATTTCTCGATATTAGATTACAATTTTTAAATATAAATTAAAGTTTATGATACATTTTTTTAAAGCAAACTGATTTCGTTATTAATGCCAATGATACCAATTTAAAATATATAGTTACAAAAAAAACTTTGTATCACCGAATAGTATAATTAAAATTTTTTGGTACTGCTTTAAAAAGGTTACTATTTTAAAGTTATTATTACTTTGTAACATAAGTTAATTTTGATGAGGTATAATAAATAAAATAAAACTTTTATTTACATTGATTAAAAATACATATTTTTTTCTATCATAACACTCCTCTGGATAATAGTAACAATCCCCTGGATAAGATAACAGTCCCTGTAGTGAAATTTTACAAAATTGTCTATAACAGTGTTGTATGGGGTAATGTACAATTAGTAGAGAAATACCCATATCACTAAATATTGCTTTAATGTAGAACAAAAAGTTTCATCTTATCAACTGTGTGTAAGAGAAAACATGATCTTTTCTTACATCCCATCTTAAAATAGAATAAGACTTATTGTTGAAGCCAGTCAATTAGGTTTGTAATCAATTCTTCTCAGGACCAAGCCATTACAAGGGAAAGTCGGCAGTGTTGCGAGATCGCTCTTAGTGTGGCTAGTCTCATTATTTTGTTGTAACACATCTTACATAATAACATTCTGATTTAGGTGCACATCCTTTTATTTTAGATAGCATTTTTGGACCCCATAAAAATTCCATTGATGGGCTACGCAGTTTTTTCTCAAGTTATAATCAACATTCCTAGACAGGAGTTGCATCTTAGATATCGAAAATTATGTTACCGGGGTATAGCGAGTGCGAATGAAAGATATTTTTTATCTGAATTGCCGCGTAAGAGAAATGTTGCTGGTGGTTTGAGAAGCGAACGAATGTCGCGTGCGTCGGCAATGTCTCGTTCTTCAGTAATGTCTCACGCTTCAATAGAATTTGAAGATCGAATGGATCCCAAATTTACGAGTTTACAAGACGAAGACTGGGAGATCATATTTCGCGATGTAAGTTCTTTTTATAATATTTGGGATAATTTCAAAATTAACTATAAATCTTCTTAAGGATGAAACTAACTGATCCCGATTTGATGTCTTAATTATTGATATTTTCAGGATCCAATGCCATCAGTAAGAGACTTAGATCTTGCCGTAGAACAAACAATTTTAAACGATCAACTATGCATCAATTACGATGAATTAAAGAAACATAGCATCACTCGTAAATGCAGAATCATTCCAGATTTTAAAGTACCTGCTTACAGGTTGGAATTTGGCAATGTCATAGTAGATACATCAGTAGTATTTTCTTTACGTATTACCAATATTTGTCCAGAACCTGCAATTGTAAAGGTAAAAATATGTTTTTTTATGTTTTGTCGTAGATAAATTTCATTCTTGTAGTTTGTATGCATGTGTGAATCAAAATAATGTTTTTAAATATTTTATAGGCCTTTTACTATCAAATGCACCTCGCCCTAAACACGAAAGCATAAACGCAGAGTCGACCATAATTAATGGAATAGTGCATCCATAGATTATTTAGACAAGTATATATGAGAATTGGGTAATATGTTTTTGTAAAATGTCGTGGAAAAACATATATGGTGTCAAAGTCGAAATATTTTTTTAAATTTTGACAACCTCTTCATACGGATCTGCTCACTTTTTTACTGATCATAAGCGTATCTCATAAACTCGTGTCTATATTAGCATTCACCTCTACTATTCTGGAAGCAGCTGGCGATTTTTATGTTGCTAGATTCTTAACTGTAGTTATAAATAAACTTTGATAGACAATGAAAGTAAAAGGCAGCTGGCGCTCTTCGGTGGAAGTTACTAGGGGGCCACGTGGAATATGTAAAAAAATGGTTCAAAAAGTATTTTAAACAACTTGATTTTTTGTCTTAAATTAGGGACGTCAGGTTAAAAAAAAAAAAGGTCAGCTGCACCCGTAACACATAACTTTTGACGTTTATAGAACTATGAAAATAGTGGAAGAAAGGATGTCAGTTGATGCAAGAATATGTGAATGTGATCTGATCCCATATTTATAAGATCATTTACCTGATACCTACCAAGAAAACGGTCCCGAAAAAGAGATACCAAACGAGAAAGACATTCTGGTTGAATAAACACCTAAATAGTTTGAGAATTTAACAGCCAACTCCACACAGGACTTATAAAAATAGGCTCACAGAGTATAACAAAGAAGTGCGCTAGGCTAAAAGAAACTCATGGAGGAAGTTATCAGAGACCATCGCAAGCACTAGAATCCAAAGATATCTAGTCAAGTCAGATTTTTTTAAAAAAAAAGGACGATACCTATACTACAATACTAGAGGAAAGTCTATAAATACTAACTCAGGTGCACTTCTCGGTCTCAACCATCCAAATAGGTCTAGATTCTGGAAACCAAGAGAGCTACAGTCAAAATGGGATCAGGACAACTCCAATATACTAGTAGCTGGCCTCCAAAATCACAAGACCATGCATAATTAGTTGGACCATCAACAAATTCAACCCATACAAATCTCCGGGGCCAGATGAAGTATATTCAATTCTGCTCCAAAATCTTTAGAGCATGCATTGCCTGGAGATATATCCCAGCAATAATGCCTATAAGCCTATCCTCCTTCTTACTAAAAATGCTAGAAAAATTGATAGACAGGTATATCAGGGACGAGATACAAAATATAAATCGGCTCCATCCCAACCAATATGCAGTCAGGAAAATCAACTGACCTAGCCGCTGGACGATCTAAACAGGCTGCTTTCAAAGTCAATGAATGACAAAAAATTGCAATAGCAACTTTCTTAGATATAGAAGGAGCTTTCAATAATATCTCAACCAGGTCAATTACGAAGGCTCTAGAACAGATAAACGTCCCAGTCACAATATGCTAATGGATCACTGCTAACCTAGAGAATGGGATCACCTTATCCACTCTAGGAAAGGCAACCATACAGGCAAAAGTTACACGAAGCTGCCCACAAGGAAAAATACTATCTCCAATGCTGTTATAGTAGTCAGTTCTAGTAGACGATTTACTCAAAACATTGTCCAAAGAAGGCTAATAGTGCCTAGGATACGCAGACGACCTAGCAATGACCGATACGGGGCGACTTTCAGGCACAGTCTTACTCTAAACATAGTGAACAACAGCAAAAAGGAGAAACTTTTAAATGCACAAAAAACAACAGTTGTACCGTTCACAAAAAAGGGTACTTACAGTAATCAGACCACTAGTACTAAATAACATGGTTGTCACAGAAACCAAATACATCGTAGTCATATTTGACCAAAGGCTGACGTAGAATCAACATAAAGCCACAATAGCTCCCATTATCTGTAGAAGAATATATGGAAAAAAACTAAGGTCTAAGCCTCAAAATGACCATATGGTTATACACATCGTTGATAAGACCATGATAATCTATGGCGCAGTGGCGTGGGTAACCAAGACTGCACAGCCAAGTGCAATAGGTCAACTCACCGACAATCAGCAATTCGCCTGTATGTATGCATGCCACTGGAGCCATGCGTACTACGCCAACTGCAGCAATGGAGGTACTATTAGACCTCACGCCACTGCACAACTTCATACAAGGAGAAACCAGGTCCGTTATTCACAGAGTACGGCAGAAAAAAACCGAATAAGCGAACTACTACGTAGCGTTGACCATACGAGTCTATACCAGCAAGTATTAAACGGACGGTTTAAAAACCAAGGAAGTAGCCGGTGCTGATATCTTTGGACCAAAGTCAAAAACAACGATTTCGCTGAGTCTAGGAGAATATGCAATAGTGTTCCAGGCTGAAATAATAGCCAAACATTGCGCAAGAGAAATAATAAATCAGCAAGTTTTAGGCAAAACTATTGCCATCTACTCTGATAACTAAGTGGCTCTAAAGGCAATTCTCTCACCAGAAAGCAAATCACGACTGATGAAAGATGGCCTAGAAGACCTGGCAGAGCTAAGTAGTCAAAATAAGGTAACCCTAGCCTGGGTTTTATGCCATGAAGGATATCAGGGCAACGAAAAGGCCGACAAATTAGCTCGAAAAGGCTCAGATAAGGCCATGACAAGTCCAAACCCTTCTATAGAGTTGCTAACGCATTATGTAAGGCATCCAGGCATCCATCAAACAATGGATGCAAAAAGAGTCTTAGGAATGGTGGAACAACTATCCTAGATTGAGACAGGCCAAATATTTCATCAAGGAATCATCAGCCAAGTTCACGAAAGAACTAATGAATCAAAAACGTCAAATCATTAGGATAACAGTAAGTCTTCTTGCCGGACATTGTCATCAATCCAGCAGAAGAAGCAACATTGTGCGCGTTCTGTGAAGAATAAGAAGAAACTCAATCCCTGTCCTGTGCCAGTATGAAGGCTTGGCTAGATTGAGGTCTCTAACATTTGGCGCAGAAAAGCCAGGCGCATGGAGCTTCATGCGAGAGCCAATGTCTAATAGAAAAGACCAAACTAGACAATATCCTCTAAAAAACAAAGTCCCACAATAGATCTGAAACGATCCTTTCAAATTAATCTATTCTCTTCCTTATGCAAAGTAAAATAGCATGTTATAATTTCCCAGTGGGTTCTAGTTGTTAGAAATATCCAGCCTGTATGCACTCATTCTCGTCTTTCCCTTAATGACTAGGTTAAGGGGTGGAAGGTTAAGGATGATTTTAATGGAAACTATTAGTGAACAAAAGCATTCCAGCCTCTGTACTCCTAAAAAGTGTATTGGGAGCTGTTTTCTGGTTTATTTTTAGCCATCAAACAACCGCCTCACAGCGTCAATAACATTAAATTGTGTTTACATTTCCGGAACTCGCCACCTATTTATAAACTACTATTATAGCTATGCTGTTTGTTCAGTTTATTCAACTGAAAAATAAAAATGTGTCTTATCGAAATAGCGCCGAACGATATAGCGCGTTTCAAAAGAGCGCTTACTCAAAATAGTGCGTAACGATTCAGCGCCTAACCAAAATAGCGTTTATTTAAATAATAAATAAATAATAAAAACCGCACTGTTCATTTACTTAACCTGTGCGGCCCAGAGCCATCACGAACTGCTTCGCAATTTTTTTGCATAAAATGAAAAAAAAAATACCTTTTTCGGGAGCGATCGGTAAAATTTAAATGGCTTCTGACCCACAGGTTAATTAAGTGGCTCCAGGCCGTACAGGTTAGGTAATTTAATTAAAATAGTGGCCTAGTTCGCTGAATCGCTAGTTTGAAACGCGCTGTTTTAATAGATGTCATTTCGATAAGGTTCTGTTCAAGTACGGCGTTATTTTGACTGACGCTATTTTAACGGTTTCGTTTAGGCTCTGTTCTGATACGCCTTATTTCGTGACAGAGCCATTATTTTCGTGCATTTTATGTTAATAGGTACTCAAATCAAACCTGCTATCCTTGTATGCAAACGACTTGTCAATAGAATATAAACCTACAGTACTTAACTATAATGAATCTTTACCAATGCACATAATGCTCAGGCCTAGTATGAAAGCATCAAATTCCATGGGTTATGACGACAAATGTATACGAGATATCTTATATTTGGCAGTTTCTCATGGAGCCACCATACCAATAATTATTACTGCAACCGTTGCCTTGCCAAGATTCGGTTTCATACATAAATGTATAGATTTTGGAATGATTAAAATTGGGAATGCATATAGGCAATCTGTTATCATTGAGAATCGGTAAGTATTTTTTCCCACAAATTTTGATTCAAACATAAATAAATTATAATTGATAGTCTATAGTGTCCAATGAAAACTTGTTAAATCCAAGAAATGATCTGACTTGATTAATAATGCTTTCGCTTATAATAAATTGAAAATCACCTTAGTAAATATTTATCTAAATGGAAATAAAAATCTCAAAATCAGTAACACACCATCTTCGTAAAGTTAAGGAAATTTTGATTAATAATGACTTTGTTGTCTTCAATTATTTAAAATCTACTCTTTTGAAACATAAACAATTTTTCTCCGATAGGGGTACAACCTTTTTCAACAATTTTATTCTTAAAAACTCTTATTTGTCCCGTCTGTATGTGGCCTCCCTAAAATTCATAAATTAGATACTCCCATGAGACCGGTTGTAACTTTATTCAATACCCCTGTGTCTACTTTTGCTAAATTTCCTAATAACTTTGTCAGCACTTCTCATAACTATAAATCTAAATATATATTCTTAAATTCGATCGATTTAATTAACAAATTAATAGATATTTATACACCAAGTGAGTTAAATGAATTTTTATTCGCGAGAAGAAATTAGATCGCGAGCCTCTAGGCGAGCGATCTTAATTTCTTCCGAGCGAATAAAAATTAATTAACTTACGAGGCGTATACAATATTTTATCCAATTTTGACATTTTTATATCAAAATATAGGTGTTTTTTAAATTTAATTTTGTATTTAACAACCATTTATGGCAATGTAATTGACAAGTAGTCGGTGCAATTTATATTAAGTCTGGTTGTTAGGCGTTGTCAGGGCTTGTTTATTTAGACTTTGTTTATAGTTAGTTGAATATTACTGTTATTGACTAAAATCTACGATATAAAACATCGGCAAAAGAGTTAATTTTCGTTTAAAATTTTGGAAAAATGGATATCTTAGATTTTGTGAACGAAGAACTTGTTCCAGAAGAAGTGTTAAATGCAGCAAATGAGGCTTTAGCAAAAATAGTACCCAATAAATCTAAAGCATTGTACGAGAAGGAGTATATGCATTTTCGCCAATAGCCCAATCGGATTAGGTGAAGAACAGGCTTGAGATTCTGAAAAATTCGAAGCAGCAATTTTCCTTCGGAATTCGTTGGAGGGGGTCTGTGGTAGTCTAAATTCAAAAAGTTGGGATTCCAAAGTTGTCGTTACCTCCGCCAGCTTGATTTAAAGGGTTATTTTTTGTATCTTGAATAACTCATTTATTTTCAATTTTACACGGAAAATAGTTTTTACAAAAGTTATTTAAAATTAAATTTCCTACAATTCTGCTTTTTTTTGTACGATCGATTTTTTTCAATTTATACCCGAAAAGAGGGGGTGAATTTTTGGTTATAGAATAACTCGTTTATTTTCAATTTTACGAGAAAAATTGTTATAAACAAAAGTTGTTTAAAATTAAATTTCCTACAATTCTGTTTTTTTTGTACGCTCGATTTTTTTGTATTTATCCCTGAGAAGAGTGGGGGTAAACTCTTATCATTGTATTATCACGTTTCTTTTTAATTCCAGGTATACAGTAAACCCCAAAAGAACGAGGCAGTTGCTCCGTAAAAATTATACTGTTCGATAAACTGATTATTTACACCCCTCTTTTCCTTTACCGTGAACGTGCGACCCAACAATATAAACTTTAGAAAAAATCGGAATCATAATTGTACCAAATAACATTTTTGAAAATCAGCAAAAAAAAACAAACAGAAAAAATAATGGTACAACATCAATAATAAACGTGACAATACAATACTTAGGTTCACCCCCACTCTTCTCAGGGATAAATACAAAAAAATCGATCGTACAAAAAAAAACAGAATTGTAGGAAGTTTAATTTTAAACAACTTTGTTTATAACAATTTTTCTCGTAAAATTGAAAATAAACGAGTTATTCTATAAACAAAAATTCACCCCCTCTTTTCGGGTATAAATCGAAAAAAATCGATCGTACAAAAAAAAGCAGAATTGTAGGAAATTTAATTTTAAATAACTTTTGTAAAAACTATTTTCCGTGTAAAATTGAAAATAAATGAGTTATTCAAGATACAAAAAATAACCCTTTAAATCAAGATGGCGGAGGTAACGACAACTTTGGAATCCCAACTTTTTGAATTTAGACTACCAGAGACCCCCTTCAACGAATTCCGAAGGAAAATTGCTGCTTCGAATTTTTCAGAATCTAAAATACTAATCCGATTGGGCTACAATGGCGAAACAAAAAGCAGGTTAAAGGAGTTAACGAGAAGATAATAATGGCATACATATCTGAAAAATCAAAAAATGTGAAGTCTTCGTCATTATGGTCCTATTATTCGCAACTTAAGAAGATGTTGTCCGTTAAAGAAAATGTGGACATAAGCAAGTAGGTTTTTAAATTATATTAAAAAATAGACGTTTGAGTTAATAAAAGGTTACTTTTTCAGATTTCACCAAGTGAAAGCATTTTTAAAGAACCAATCAGTGGGATATAGACCTAAGAAATCAAATGTATTTAATAGAGAAGACGTCGAAAAATTTTTAGATACTGCTCCTGATGACAAGTATTTACTGCTTAAAGTAGCTTTGATAATGGGTGTTTCAGGAGGCTGCAGAATTTGCGAACTGGTAGCGATGTCCACTAATAATGTTGACGACAGAGGAAATGTATTAGTGGTAAAAATTTCCGACACTAAAACTTACAAAGAAAAAATATTCACTGTTGTCAATGGAAGCAATAATATCAATGCAATTGATGTGTTTCAGAAATATAAGAAATTGCGCCCGCAAAATGTACCACATACACGACTATTCCTAAACTATAAAAATGAAAAATGCACGGTACAGCCTGTAGGTTTCAACACATTTTCCAATATGCCTCAGAAGATAGCAGAGTTTCTTGGCTTAGAAAATGCGGGAGACTATACTGGACATAGTTTTAGACGATCCTCTGCCTCTTTGCTGGCGGAATCAGGCGCTGATTTATCGATATTAAAAAGACATGGAGAATGGCGTTCTGACTCAGTTGCAGAAGGATATGTTGAACAGTCTATAAGAAATAAAATAGAAATTTCAAGAAAAATATTGGTTAATGAAGTTGCAGTAGGTGCACCTGAAAAAGCTGGGACAGTAGCCAATAATAAATATAATATATCGGAGAATACATTACAAATTTCCAATTTAAACAATGAACCCATCGCCATCGGTACAAACATCGATTCTAACAATGGACCCATCCATTCAAACGTAGTTTCTAATATTACAGAGCAACTAACTATTCCATTAAACAACGAAATGAAGCTCCAGTTTAATAATTTAAATAACTGTAACTTTTATTTTGATTATAAAAAATAATTATGCAAAGATAGTTTCCATTGTAGTTTCCATTAAGTATTATAGTTTTTATTGTTTCCATAATTATTGTTACAAGTTGATTTTTATAATAAAACTTTTAGACTGATTCCATTGTTTATTATATTGGCTTTACATAATATATGCACACATGCCTAAAGAGTGCTAATATCGATACCTAAATAGCGACTTCCACATTTGGCTGTCAACAGTAATATAGGTACATTATTAGGTTAACTAATAGTGACTTAAAAGTTTTTTAAGTCACTAGTCTCTTAAAAAAATTTTAACTCACTCTTTTAGTTGCTAGTGAATAAAACTTTATTTGTTATTGTTGTTATGGAATTGACAGTCATTTTAATGTGTCAAAACTGGATAAAAAATATTAATTTATCTGTAAACTTCAAACTAGTAGGTATCTTTCGATGTTAATAATTTATTTACCAATGTCCCTAGGATAGAGACTTTCCCTATTATCAACGAACTACTTATAAAAAAACAACACTAACCAACTCTCCATTTCAGTTATTCTAGAATTTCTAAAAGTTTGTCTTGATCAAGATGTTTTTATTTTTAAAAATACCATCTATCGTCAAGCTGATGGCCTTGCTATGAGGAACCCCCTTAGTCCTTTATTAGCGGATCTGTTCCTAGACTATTTAGAAACCAACAATATTCTCTCTGATCACTCCAATAACAAAATACTACACTGGTTTAGATATGTAAACGGTATCTTTGCGATCATGAATTGTAACGTAGATGAGATTCAGGGTTTCTTAGATTTTATCAACAATAATTATCATAAAATTAAATTTACAGTCGAACTTGAAGTTAATAACTCACTTCACTTTTTAGACTTAACTATCAGCCGCCATTACAATAAATTAGAGTTTGACATCTATAGAAAACCTACTCAATCCGACCATCTTATAAATTTCAACTCCAGTCATTCTTATCAACATAAACTAGCTGCTATCTATTGTTATGTACACCGTTTACTTAATGTTCGTCTTTCTCATCTCAATTTCAACAAGGAAATTAATGTGCTGAAACAATTAGCCATCAATAACAACTTTAACCCCACTATCATTAACTCAGTTATTAACAAAGTCAATCTCAAAAAAAGATCTCAACTAGCTTTTATTGGTTCTAATTTAACTTCTTCTACTGTCAAATATTTTTCTTTACCCTTTTTAGGGAAAATTTCTAATGATATTGCCAATGTGTTTAAAAATTAAAATATTTAAATCTCTTTCAAAAATATTAATTTAATACACGTTTACTTTCTCACACTAAGGATGAGATAGATTTGCTTGACAAAAGTGGCATTTATAGACTCTGTTGTAACGATTGCAATACCTCTTATATTGGAAAAACTGCTAGTAAATTAAACACTTGCATTCGTGAACACATTAGATATCCTGAGAAGTCTACTTTTGGTCATCATCTTAAGTAAAATAATCATAATTTCCCTCCTTAGGAGAACGCTACCATCTTGCACAATATTTTCAATTGCAATTTCAAACTAAATTTACTTGAGGATCATGAAATCTATAAAGAATCTAGCAAATCTACCTCTACTTGTGTCAACACTCAAATTCACCGTAATAGTCATGTCCCTCCCCTATTTAAGAGTATCGGTAACAA